GAGAGTTTATATACGTTTATCTTTGGTTGGTATTGCTTCACCTGTTGGCATCTTTTAAGTTAGTCCTTTCCGTGTGCACGTTCTCCGCGCTTAATGAACTAGGAGATCTTTGAATTAACTTCACTGCATTTCGATATATGATGATGATAATGATGATGATGATCATGGTAGTGTTCTGTCATTGCATTACATTTCTCATTCCGTTTTAGTGGCAGTTCCACTTGGGAGTTACCGGATTCCCCACCAAGTTCAAATCCAAATGATGCTCAGCCACCCCCTACTGTTAGTCGTAAATCATCCGCCATAAATTTAGTCCACCTTCCTACCTGGTTAAGAGTTTATTGGGAACGAAATTCAGTAAAGTCCATCACCTCTGCGTACGAGGTTTTCCAGCACGATACTGTCCACGGTCTTTGTTGCCCAAGGTCCTGGATGCATCGATCTTGTATAGCTGGATTTGCAGTGAGTGCGGCCTTGCACTATGTGAAGTGTCCATACTGCGCAGATAAACAAACTTTTATTCGATCCATCATAGATGCCGGAATTTGGGTCCCTGACCGGTAAGTATTTTCACATCCTTCTGATTTACATGCACTATGATTTTTTTCCGTCAACCTCTAACCACGGGAAATATCTGCTCTGAAAAGTTCTCCAAACTACGTGGTATATTTTCATACCTATTTTATTTTTCTTTGAATGCGCTCATAGTTCACCCAGTTCTGTTCCGTGTAACAAGAGACCGTTTGATTGTCAAGGTAGATTTACTACTTGTTTAATCTGTGTATGGATAACAGACAAAGTTCCTTCCGGTCGATATAAACATCGTAAACAATTGGTCTGATTCGGCTAGACGGTTTTCTGATTATGGTTACTGTTTCCTTTGAACATCATTCTGGTAGCAAAAATGAGAACTAAGTGAAATATACGCGTGACCTATGAATATATAGGTGCCTGAATTTAGGTGACCAACTCTGGCACTCTCTGGTTCCATCGGCAAGATACTTGCGTGCTCCTTTTTATCTAAACGACGTGCGGTATTTTAAGCTTTCTGAAAAATAAATAGACACAAGAAAACCAGACTCCGCCTTTGTAAATGAAATGGTAAAGGAAGCATTGATACTAGAGCCAGCTGGTTAAATGTACTTTAAAAGACTACCAGGTTATAAATAGGAAGGAAGATCGAAAGTGTTCCTCAGGTATGTGGTTCTTGAGGGAAATGTGATTGTAAGTTTGAAGTGCGATACCTAGGAATAGTCAGTTGTAGTGGGTAACTGGCCATTTTAGTACGGAACCTAGACGGAAGAACAAGTTGAATAAGCATGACAGAGGCAAGTTCGGTAGAATAAAAACCAAAATAGTACCTGTAGAATACGGGTAAGAAGGTGACTTCTCGATCGTGAGCTAATTGATCTTGGGGTCGTTGAAGAGGTGACTGGCTTTATTTCGATGGAGATCACGAAGAAACTGAGAATTGGACACAGTTCAGCCCTTCATATGACCACAGTGTTTAAATATGGCGCGAATCTGAGTTTTGAAGTATGAGAACGTGAGAAAAAGTAGAGAAATAAATCTTCCTCTTCAGTCACTCCTGGCCATCATTGCCGTACGAATCTAGCTGCGCTCCACCTCTCGTAGAGGATATCTCAAANCCAAAAGTTGTCCAACGGTCTGGGTCTCATCTATTTTACTCCCTTGCTCTAAAGAAGGGCGGCAAGGCACTCTATGTGAACCATAGGGGCACCAGTTTGCTCTGTGTCTTACTTTACTTTTATTTACGGCGGTTGGCTCCTGGGAGAGAATAAGCCGTCTTCATGGATATCGCAAACTGTCGCTGCCCACGCTCGGCGATCTGCGGCAAGATCAGCGCAGATTGAGATCCAGCTTGAATTCTATGGGCGAACGCCGTAAACGGAACGGTGACCAAAGTTTTCAGTATCCTTTCTTACCTTGTCAGGCCAGGTTTTCAGCTGTCCACTGTGTCGACAGCGCCAGTTGGGGTAGGGAGGCGGTGCTAAAACAGCTTTGTTCAAGTCGTTATCAGACTTACGAAGAATGTAACCAAACAATTGCAGACGCCGTCGTTGTATTAGCGTTTGCAGTCTTACAAGATTGGAACATCGATGTTTGACCGCTTCATTTGAGATTTGATCCCTTAATCGTACTCCCAGAATGATTCTTAAGCACCAGTGATAGAAGACTTCTAATCTGCTACGGTCTTGGACTCTAAGTGGCCAGGTTTCGCAGCCGTAAAGCAATACAAAATGGATTGCTACGGGGAAAACTCGGATTTTTGTCTTAAGGCTGATTCTATTTCTACGTCAAAGGGGATTCTTCAGCTGTAAAAATGCCCTTGCAGCATCGACGCGCACTTGCACCTCGTCTTTAGATTGGCCGTCCGGGGGCATGGTTGAGCCTAAGTATTTGAAGCTTCTGACGGATTCTATCGGCTCACCGTTTACTAGTAAAGCATTTTCGGGATGAATCGGGACTGTCGCAAAGGTTTTCGTTTTTGATGTGTCCACCTCTTGGCCGATCTCGGAGGCCTGTCGACTGATGCGGTCAACGATTACTTGGAGATTAGACATGTCCTCGCCAAAGACGACAATATCATCCGCGAATTCTAAGTCGGTTAGCCATAAGTTCGGAGAGATTTGAACTCCCCGGTATCCTCCCATTGAAGGACTCGCTATCCAGTCAACGGCAAAGTTGAACAGCATTGGGGACAATGGGCACCCCTGTCGCACTCCAGATCCTAACCCGAACGCCCATGACTCCTTTCCGTAGATGCGGATTCGGGCGCTAGTGTTAGAATAGTAGGATCTCATTAAGTTGATGAGTTTAACTGGAACGCCATCGGCCAAAACTAAGTTCCAGATGGATTCGCGATCTACGGAGTCGAATACCGCACGAAAATCAATGTACCAGACTGCTGTGGGTTGTTAAAACTTGTGTCAGTGTTCCAAAGTAGAGTGAATATTTGGTCAGCACAGCCCACCCCGGGGGCGGAATCCCTTCTGGTTAGGTCGAGTGCATGCGTGCCCTGCTTCCACAAAGCAGTTCAGCAAAAGTTGTGCAAAAACTTGGCCGCCACGTCAAGTAAATTGATGCCTCTGTAGTTTTCGCACACTGATTTATCACCCTTTTTAGGGAAAGATAATAAAGTCGATGTGGTCCAGTCAATTGGGTCGATTTCGGTTTCCCAGATTTCACACAGTAAGCTATGAAGAGTGTTTAAAATGGCTGAAGTACACTGCGTAGATTTCGGTGGGTATCCCGTCTTCACCCGGAGATTTCCGTGTCTTGAGATGGCTGATGATATCTGAGACTTCTACTGATGGCGGGGCGCAGTTAGCTTCGTATAGAGAAGATGGCGAGAAGGACGCATAGCGAAATTGGATTTGAGGGCAATTGAGAAGAAGACTAAAGTGTTCCACCCACCGAGACATTTTTCCTCGCGCATCAGAAATGAGCTCGTTGGAGGTGCTGCACAACACAGACTAGGTGACCCGTTTCTTGCTCGATGCTGATCGAATAAGTCGGAAGAGGTTCGCCGTGTTCCCCAGGTTGGTTGCTGTCTCCATTTTTGTAGCCATTTCATTCCAGTAGTTCTATCTATCGTTTCTGGCTGATCGTGTTGCTTATCGTCTGAGATCGCGATAAGCAGAGGATTGAGCTAGGCGTGCCTCTCTGGCCGCACTAGCTAACTGGACAGTTTGGTCGGATATCCAGTCCTTCAGACGACGTGATCCAGTGCCTAGTGCGTACAGAGCGGCTCGTTGTACCGACTACTTCATCCTGGTCCACTGAGTTTCAACCGAACTCTCTGTGTTTCCATGCGTACCCAGGGGATCGTTTGACAGCCGTGCAGTTGTCATGCCCATCAGTGTTCTGTTCTCCAGTGGAATCACATTTAGGCGCTTCAAGGGGACGGTCTTGCGAGTTGTTCGATGGAGTTTAACTTTCGCGCGAACTAGTACGTGATCAGATCCGCTTTTGTTCCCGCATTTAGGATCGACGGTCTTCAATCGAGGAAACCTATCATAAACGGATGAGAACGTAATCCATTTGATGTGCTGTTCGGTCGTCGTTGGAGCACCACGTCAGAAGATGCTTTTTTGTATGTTGAAACCGCGTGTTGGTAATACACAGTCGCTTGTAATCGGCGAAGCAGAGTAGTCTGTCACCGTTCTCGCAGCACTGGCCCAGGCCAAACCTCCCATGGCCTCTTCTTGTTGACCAGTTCAAACGTTTCAGTCCCCTGCTATGACAGATACATCCCATTTGGGTACTTCGTTAACTGGCGATTGAAGGCTGCCATATAACTCATCCTTGACTTTGTTGTTAGATGGGAGAACCGGGGCGTAGACAGCGATTACTGTGAGGTTTGCTGGATGACCCTTGAATCGTGCTACTGCTATCCTAGAGGATATTGGTTTCCAGGAAAGAAAAGCACTATTAACCCGATAGCTTAAAGCAAGTGCCACTCCGTGTTGACCCGAAGTTTCGTTGCCGCTGTGATACAGCCAGTATTGGCTATCGATACCACGGATTTTGTTACTTTTGGAGCCGAAGCCCGCCAATCTGACTTCTGATAGGCATGTAATATCCAGCTGGTAGTCATGCAGCGCGCGTATTGTTAGTGCCTGACTCCCGGCATTTGAGAGTGTCCTTACGTTCCACCATTCAATGTAAGAAGTTTTGTGCAGTTTGAGGTATCCGGTGCGTATACTTGTCACACGAGCCACTGGAGGAACACAGGGTGCGTCGCTTCCCGGGAACGCCGTAGCGTGATTAGCAAGACAGCCTGAGTAAATATCCATGAAATTTCTTAGGCGTTAGGTACAGGAAACGTCCCCAGCGTCACCCGGCTTTGGTTCTAGGTGGTATCTCTAGCGTTTGCACATCCAAGTGCGAGGGAGCAAGAAGGTAGTGCATGGTTGCTGGCGGCCCTCTGCGGGGAGCTCATACGCCATTGACAGTTGCTAGCGGAACAGGGGTCCATGCGTCCCTGGTGAGTACAGAGTCATTGTCTAGGCCGTTGAGTCGTGAAACCGACTTCGTCAGCACAACACGTACGTTAGACACCGACCCGTCGGGAGTTGAGCTCCTGGTTACCTTCAACCTGGTTTGGTCCGCCTGTCGAGCGGTTTACTGGGGTGTGGCCGCTGTTGCATTCAAACAGCTTCTGGGAGCCGCAGGTGGGGGCTGAGCACCCGATGGAGACCAAAGAGCGAGGGATGCTCTCAAGGGGCCGACAGCCCCCCGAATCAGAGGTACTACTCCTACCGGGCACCTCATACACCCCCTCTGTGTCGGTCAATTTTCAACAACTTATACTGAACCGCTTTGGAGAAATAAGACGCACATAGATCCAACCTAAGTAAAATAGATTCCATCGTAGTGTGTTATCTTGATCGACCATTCACCGTAAATCGGCTCTTAAAGCATGACTGCAAGTTTTAACACGCACCAGTCTTATTCACGGATTTCGTAGATCACGAATTCCTTTGAAACATGATACTAGCCGTTATCACGGTGTTAAAACTTGTAGCCCTATTAAATCCTACTCGAATCCTACAGCGAGGAGCCACGCCTGTTTGAGTTAAGATATGTAGCATGACAGGGTAGCCCATTGCCCCTGAAGCTATTCCACTTAAACGTTGATTGGATAGTGGCTCATTTCATGGACGGATACAAGTGGGTTCCGATTTCTCTGAACCTATGGCTCATCGCCTTAGAATTCCCTGCTGACGTCGTCTTTGGTGAGGATATGCCCTACATCCGAAACATCGTTAGTTACATCACTTGACAGGCTTTGGAGATCTGCCTTGTGGCAAATACATCCAAAATGAAAATATCTGCCAGGCTTCCGAATCGTCTCGTAGATACGTCACAGCTGAACGATAGATGGATGAAATCCGTTGAAAGCTTTAAATCCCTGAGCCCAAGCGTATTGCCTAATGACCAGGTTAAGGATGAGGTCCGATGCGGCCAAAAGACGTTTCTTCAGCTGAAGAATTCCTTATGGTGTACAGATCGAACAGGCCTAAGAACGAATATGAGTTTTTTCTCCGCAGCAGTCCGTCTTGCTTTGCTGTACGGCTGCATCCCTTTGCCTCCAAGCGTCGAAGACTCAACCATGAGAGTTTTCAGATCAGTGGGGCTTAATGATCATCCTGGGAGTCAGGTGAAGGTATTAGCTACCTAATGAATCAGTCAGAAACCTGTGTGTTGATATCACGCAGCTGCAAACGCGCTTGAGTCTGACGACTGCAGTGGTGTGGATATACTTTGTAAATCAGACCACGACCTAACCAAAGCTGCTTTGGCACTGTCTCCGTGCCCATGCTGGTTCTGAGGACGCAGAGCACCTTAGTTTCTGCCCTGTCTACGACAATCACCAATGGAAGTTACGCTGGATCACAGTCTGCGCAAACCTTGCTGTCAACTGCTGAGCGACGACGGCTACATTTCCTGATATCCACGAGGCCGGTTTATACGCTCAAGAGTCAGTCACTGCGAGTAAAGTAAGGTGTGTCCAGCGGTGCTATGTGGGCTTTCCCGTGGCTATCGAGTGTTGCTGACTTATATGTCAACCAACCGTTGGAAGAGCACCAGTGAATCGAAGCAACCCAACTTTAGGTAAATGTGGTCGCCCACTGGAGCAAGTGGTCGACCTCCATAGATTACATTGGTTGGGGCATATGTTACGCATGTCACCCAATAGGTTGCCACGGTGATCGATGTTCGCCCAGACAGGTAGTGGGTGGAGTAAAGCTAAGTGTGGTCAAGCTGAAACCTGGCATAGGGGTATGAAAACCCTAATCAGGATTCCGGGTCACTTAGGTCCTGTTAAGCTCCCTAGACGGGGACCTCTTAATCGAGTGGTACGGCTAGGCGTCGTAAACAGTGATGTTCTTACATCTCAGTTTCTTTGCAATATTAGTGCCCCGAACTTCTCAATTTTCTCTTCGATCCTACTTTCAACCTTCCTGTTTTCCTTTTGTTGTTCATCCAAATGGGCAGCCAAAAGACAGCAACCGAAACCGGCGCACGGAAGTGCATGCTTAATTGTTGTTCAAACGGAACTGGACGCGATACTGCCAGGTTTCCCCAACCAAAATGGGTGAATATCCTTGGAGCTTTCGGCGCAGTTGGAGTTTTTCCAAGAAGTGTGGACAGAGCAAAAACGTTTAGTCATTTGATTTACCATTTTCAGTTGTCAGTCTCACCCTGGGACTTGAGACGGTAAACCACACAAAGCTTCGCTAGCTTAGATGTGATGATGATCAGACTCATATCATCAGCGTCATAATAATGTAAAATGCAGTGACGCTGACTTCGTTGACCACTGCCAAATAAAAAAATGATCGAAGTTGGTGCTACGCCAGCTCAGTGACTGGCGTTGCTATGGTGCGCAGCGGGCAGAAATGTCTTTAGCGCCGACGTGACGGTTCGGTGAAGTAGAATATTTGCGCGTTTTGTGCCGCAGGGATTGTGATTGTGAGATCTTCAATTCTGTTCATATCAGTTCACTTTCTACAACTATCGATTGAATATCATCGACAATCGTTTATATAGTATGACACTGGTAGAATGAAGGTTGCTAGTTTGGCAACTCACCCAAGCCACCGTGTATGTTTGGGGGGGGGGGGATGATTCGCTGGAAATTTCGTTATCACATCGAAGTCACATTAGCAAGCTCCCTTAGAGCACGTGTTGCGAGTACCTAGCTGTCTTCTGTCACTTCGTTTCTTATCCACTGTTGTTGCATTAAGCTGGAGGATTCAAATGGATGTCAGTTGTTGACTTGAAAATGAAACATGAAGAAATGCGGCAAGTGATTAAGTAGAGTAGGTATCCCTGGTCTTCTAGATTGGTGTCCGAAGCTTCTGCAACTTGTTGGTTAGATACATGGGAGGACTTTTTAGCAGACCGATAACAGTGTCGTGCTAGTTGTATATTGGACCGGAATGCTTGATAAGGATTGTATGGGGTGTGTTGCGCATAAAGGTTTACGTTCACTTTCTTTGCTGCTGGATGGTGATGATGATGATATCTGGATTTATTTTTCAATTTCCTATAGTCTAACGGTAGCGGTAAAGCATTTCTATTTGATCGAAAAATAGAGAATCAGCCGGTGTTTTTTAAAATACCGATATACTTTGATGCAAATGATACAAATGTGAATTTTAATCTTCCATCCATCTTACAGGGACGCAGCATGGGAGTTAGAACCAGGGGCGTTTGCTGAACTGGCTCCGGTGGATGAAGACGATGAGAGTCGTCAATCTTCGTGCTCGTCTTCCTCAAGTGGCGACTCGGTGTCCAGTGATGACCATAAATTAAGCAACACACGAAACAACTCTGTTCAGAGGATTCCCTTGTCTGAATCCACTGAAAATCAAACAAATGAACCAACCGAGCCAGAGCCCTTGTTCAATCCACTATCTTCCTTAGATAGTGATCGAGATACGTGCCCTTCCCAGGCCCCACCACCACCGGTGCGTGTTCCCGGCACCGCAAAACCAATACTGTCCTTGGTTTGGACGGCTCAGTCGCTGGAACCCAATCAGCGTGGTCGTCCTCGTACGAAATCAGTGCGTTACAGTCACCATACTATATTTCATCAGTCGAAATCACCACCTCAACAAGGGACGCGTCGGGTTCGACGCCGTCTATCATTATATTCACGTCCAAGTACACGGTTAGATTCAAGCATAGAAACAAGACTACGTCAGGCCACACTGGGGACATTCTTAGCTTCTTTTCGTGTATCTTCTGTTCCAGATTGATTCTATAGTTTGTCACTTTTTCAACGGATCCAAGTTCTGTTCATTCTCACAAGTCACTTTATTGGGTCTCTATTTGAACGTCTTTTTTCTTCACAGTTGCTATCCTCCTACCTTGCTATCCAACAATCCTTTCCATCCAATCTCGGTTATCCTTCATGTACAGAAATACCCACAGAGCCCCCACCGTCATTCCGTTGACGCTTTTTTGGCATCTAGTGCTTGTCAGATTCACAATTAACTCGATTTGCAGTCACTTATTTTGCATTTCTCCGAGTGAGTCTCGATTTTTCGATCGCAATATAAACTTCACTAGTTTTCGAATTCTTTCATCGCGTTTCTATTGTGTAGGTCAGACAGTTGTGAGAATACTTATGCTCTGGTGAAACAAGTTGAAAATTAGTTGTGAGATGCGTCTTTGAACAAATAAAATCAACGACACTGGCGTTTATCCCACACTACTTCGACTGAAAGCTTGCATCAACCCACTACCTTAACCAGGATATTGCTGCTGGTTATGGATCAGCCATTCATGTAAGTGCATCTGTTTTACTCTTTCACACTGAACGGTCGTCCTTGCTATGGCTTCCTTTTTTCGTTCAACGGTAGAAGTAGTGAAAACCAAGACTGATAACCAAAGCCCTGAGATTCACCAAAGTTATCAATCGAACGGTGTTACTGTTCAGCTGTCGCTGCGAAAAGTCGAAAAGCGAGTAATGATCAGTTCCGGTCATAGCAAAGATTGTTACTGGCAATTGGTTTGTGGTTTGTTGAGTTTAACTCCATAACCGTCAGTTTCTCACATAGATGTGTATATTTTGTCACCGTTGGACAAATCTGGCTGTGTTGCAATGAATTTCAATATTTGGTAGTTACCAGTATTCATTCGGATTTATGAATCTAACAACTGATGCCTGATTTGCCCATCCCACAAGGCCCCTTGGATTGATCGTTTTCAGAAATTCGGTTGCGCAGTGATAGTGTTAAATAAGAGCAATCAGAAAAAAGAATGAATGGCAGACGGTGCT